CTTTGAATATTTAGCGCAATTATTTCAGGAGCCTAAACTTTCATTAAATCAGAGCGTTCTATACCAATTGACATGTATACACAGTTTATCGGATATAAGTACAAATGCTTACCCTGTATAGCCTTGGCACTCGAATTGCTCTGGCTGGACTTGTTTGGCGAACGCGTCTCGTGGTTCTGTTTGACAAACTGTCCATTTTATCGAGCTTATTCTTCATATCTTCGATGAACAACTTCGTTTCGTTTTTAGTCGTCTTTAGTATTAACTGTTCTCGTAAGAGCCTGTTCTCCTGGCCGACGTTTTGTAGTAACAGAACATATTGGTCAGATATTAACGACACAGCCATATTTACATTACACTATACTAGACTTGCTAAAGTTTAGCTTAGCAACTCAAATATACTTTGGATGGACGAAAATCCTGTTTGTGAACCTTGAACGACAGTGACGGTTAATAAACCTCGTCATAAAAATCCAAAATTAAGTGGGAATTAACGAAATATTTTCCGATTGGACGAGTACAAATACGCACAACGGAATGCCATCCTGTTTGTCAAATAACTCAAATTATTATATACACAAGGTCTGGATATGAGGTATTCTGCAATCTGATTGGTTCTCTACTAGCAGGATATTAGCTCACTAGCAGGATATTAGCTAGTAGAGAAAACAAAATGGCGGCCAAACTGAATTTACGATGTTTGCAAACGAGAAAACGGCAAGTTGTCGCTTTTTGTAGCCTTCACAGGATTAAAAACACAAATTATTTTCAGGTTAGCAAATAAATTTTAAAATGGTTAGAAATATATATTTTTGAAAAAATAATCGGCCGAAAGAGAGAAGATAAAAACATAAACAAAATAGAAAAATATTGGAAATATTCGAAAAGCAAAGTCAGTGAATTCAGACCTTAATTGTGTATATAATAAAACAGTTATTCCACTCACTCTCGTCGAATATGAGCGATAGCCGATTCGGCGCAACGCGCCTCATCGGCTATCAGCTCATTGAACTAACAGAATAACTGTTAATTAACTGGTTTCGATGAGCAACATCTGGCCAAAAATTCGCTCAGTGCTGTAGAACACTAATATACCATCATCCATAAAAGTGATGTTACTTGCACAACTGCTGATAGAAATAACAGTTATATTTGGTCAAAATTTTCCATTCCAGTACTGTAAAATATACAGCAAGTGAACAGACAATTGCTTGACCTGCACGAGGGAGGGAGGGAAGGTAATATTTGTGCAGTAACATGTAAACAAAGCGCGCGGGAATTTGCACTTGATCACCAGCAAGCAAGAACGGCAAATCTCAAGAAATAATAATATGCTTTTTCTCTGTTTCGTCTGGTCGTATGAGCTTACGTAAAGTCAGTTGAAATGGCGCATTTTAACACGACATTCCACACAGCGAGTGGGGCACTTGCTAATGGTGGGACTCGCGTCACGATCTGGGAGAAATCTCAGTGCAACCAGCGAGACAAAGCGAGCATAGACTTTCGAAGTTAGGTTCTCGGCTTTCCAAGCCGAACACGATCGAGGAATTGGTCGTAAAGACGAAAAATAATTAAACAAGAAAGAGCGAGAGAGATATACAGGGATGTCTAAAAGAGAAAAAAAATTGAGAGGGAAAGAAAAATGCGGGAGAGATTTATTATCGAGCACGAAAATAGCACGAAAATCTAGTCGTTCGTGTACACAAAGCCGGGAAACGTGATGTTGACTTCCGGCGACTGTGGGACAAAGAGAAAATGTTACGCAGTACGAGCAACATGTGAGTAAAATAGCACAAATTTATAGGTAGGTATAGGTAGGTAAAACTTTATTTTACTACGCTAACCCCTACATCAAAAGCTGATTTCCAAGGGGGCGTAGCATTAAATTCAAATTTACATTAAAAATTTAGAAAAGTTAAACATACAAGTACAGCTACTTACATGCAGTTATTACAGTTACATACATGATTAAATAGATAATAGTACATACAGTACATACATACTTACATAATAGTAAATATTAATAGATTAAATAGTCAAGGTAAATATGGGTTTGAAAACTCTAATTAGTAGCCACGTGTCATACGTTTTTATTGAATATAGCTAGTGATTCTTTTCCTTTTAATTCATTTGGGAGACTATTCCACAGTTTAGCCCCTCTATAGCTAAGACTTTTTTGAGATATTCAGTCTTAGGCTTGGCCAAATGGAGTTTAGTGGAAGAGCCCCGCAAATTATAATGCTGGGAGGAAGACGTCTTTTAAAAAAAATCAGTAAGTCGTAAGCTAGCTAGGGCGCTAGATCATGAGTAATTTTATGCATCAGACTTGCCACAAACTGGGTTCTGCGCTCGCTCAGAGGCTTCCAGTTTAATTCATTTAGAGCAAGTTCAGATTGACCATGTTCATTTTTACGACCCACGATAGCTCTTAGACTAGCAGCCCTATTTTGTAATTTCTGGAGACGATAGGACGTAATTTCTGGAGACATTTAAAACTAGTCAAAACTGTACCTCTCATTTACCATGCGCATATTTTAAAGACAGTGTCCTATAAATACGTGCAGTGTCGTATAAGTTTCTGAAACCCAAAGCTATTATCTATTATATATTTCGAATTTCCCAATTTAATACCCACACTGAAACAATTATAAACTGTAATACTACAGATATACTCGATAAATGTATAGTGTTCTATACTGAATTCTATACAGATCAGCAGACGTAAACAATAATTGCATGTCTAGTGACCAGTGTTTCTATTAAGAGAAGATATATATATATATATATATATATATATATATATATATATATATATATATATATATATATATATATATATATATATATATATATATATATGACGAAAATTGCAGCTAGGATTCATATTTATATATTAAAAGATTAAAAGTTTCTTGTCACTAGCTATGTAAAAAACGTAATCACGTTTATAAAAAAGTTTTTACAAGACGTTTCGATCAGAAACCTCCGATCTTCGTCAGTTGATATTAAAAACTAAGAAGCCAATAAACAGGCCTCTATTTATACGGTTCGTTAGCTATTAATTTGGATGCATCAGTGACCCATAAACGTCTGGAATGTCAATATGGTCGTTGCCAGAACTTTTGTCCACTTGGGAATACCAAGCCTCAAGGAACAATCGTTTGCGATAATTTTTTCTCTCTACTAACTATTTCGGCGTTTTCAAAGTCCATATTATGGTCATATTGCTCAACGTGTTGGGCTATCTTGGAATTCTTATCATTATATTCAACAGCTCTTTTATGTTCTTTTATTCTTGTTTTCAATGCTCGGTTGGTTTGACCATAATAAGTAAAATCACAAGTGGAACATTCAATTTTATAAACGATGTCCCTTGTACGGTTGGTGTCTAGTTTGATCTTTGGCTTTGGAAATTCTTGCTGTAATGTGCGAGTTGGTTGGAATGAAACACGAATTTTCTCACGTTGTAATGTTCTTGTAATTCTTTCTGTAACGCCCTTTATATATGGTAGAACAACATAACTAGATGAAACTGTTGATTTTTGCGTTGCATTCACATTTTCGTGCGAACTATTTAATTCCTTGTTTTTGTTTCGCCTCCTGTTATCACAGCTTCTTATGAATTGTAAGGGGTAACCGTTATCTCTTAGGACCTTTAGGACCTATTGGCTTCTTAGTTTTTAATATCAACTGACGAAGATCGGAGGTTTCTGATCGAAACGTCTTGTAAAAACTTTTTTATAAACGTGATTACGTTTTTTACATAGCTAGTGACAAGAAACCATTAATCTTTTAATATATAAATATGAATCCTAGCTGCAATTTTAGCATTTTTCGTCATATATATATATATATATATATATATATATATATATACATATATATATATATATATATATATATATATATATATATATATATATATATATATATATATATATATATATATATATATATATAGAGAGAGAGAGAGAGAGAGAGAGTTTACTGAATTTAGCGTCCTCTATAGCGCTTAATATCGATGCGTGGGTTATAAAAGTTATGGGTTTTAGTTTTTGAATGACAACTTCTACTTACCTGCTAGCAGTGGTTTCCAAATACGAGCCGATTAAAAACTGCCATTCGAAATCACATTTTTCCACCTTTGTGCATAATTAAAGCAGTATAGAAGCAATTAATCACTAATTTGTCTTGCCAAACAGTAAATTTAAGATAGAATTACCAATTTATCAACAATTATTTCATTTTATCCAATAATTACGTTACAGCTTTTTAAATTAGAATTCATGAATTTTAGATTGCAATGGAATTTATTTTCAATAGTTTTTTTGCATCCAATTCTCAACAGTGGAAAAATGCGATTTCGACCTGACTTACCTATTCGATTCGTATTTGGTAATTTTCCTTCATAATGTTACAAAAAAAGGTATATTTCGACAGCTAAAAGTGTGATTTTTGTGCTGTTTAATTAAGAATATTGTACATGTCGATAAACGCAATATCTGACCCACTCGAGCATGCTAAAGTTGGATTACCTTTGTTTATCCACCTTGACGTATAAATATACGCTACAGTGCATGCATGCATGCATCTCTTATTAGTGTTTCCAATTAATCCTTTATATATTTACAAGGTCAATTTTTTTGAATTGAAGTTTATTTTTGTTCTTTTGGCTTTTCCCCTTGACCCTCAGTAGAATTTACTACTTCGGCTGTTTCCGACATTATGCTGCAACAACTAACAATCCATAACATGAAGATATTTAAATATCCTGCAGTGATGCATTCTTTAAAAGGATATGAAATGAATGATTTATTGTATAGAAATAAACACACTAGTGACTGTCGCTAGTATATATTCTGAAAAGAACTTTCTTATTCGTGGCAGGTATGGGGGTAGATATGAGGGTAGCAGCTCTACGTCTTCTTTCAAAGCCAATTGCTCTGCCAGGTTCATTGACAGGTTGAAGGGTTTCGTTAGTGCCGGAAGAGGTAACATTGATGAGATAGTTGCTGTCTATTGGCAATGTATGTCCATCACCAGGTGGTGGAGGCTAATTAAGTATAAAAAATAAGGTCAATTAGTGATTTTGGTTACAATTAATCAGGTTACTTCTTAAATAATGATTAATTTAATATCACTCGTAAATTATTTTAATCTGATTAAATTTTTTTGCAAAGAATTGTTAATCAAACAGATAATGGTTAACTGACAAAAACAAATATAAGTTTAAATCAAACTTATATTTGTTTTTGTCAGTTAACCATTATAAGAGGTCATTTAAAACAAATTTAAAATTTCTGTTCTCTTGATATACCATATATAGCTAATCTTAATGTGCAAAACGAAGGTAACTGAATGTTTAAAAACCCAAGTCTCCTTTCACACAATAAGTTTATTCATACACATAGTCTATGACGGCATAGTCAATCAAGATTTGGTCTGGACACTCGGGCAAATTAGTCTTTGTCCTATCATTTTGTTCATTTTTTAAACTTGTACCCCGGCGTAAAAAAATGGGCATCATCTAACCAGGGCTTCAGTGTTCTACAGCGCCCTAATATATGACAAATCGCACAACGTTGCAGTGCTGCATATTGAAATAGTGGATTTGCCAACCAACAACGGCGACGGCAAAAAACAAAATTACTTGAACGCTTTAATTATTCTGTTAGCGTGGTCTGCATTTGCCGTGAAAATGATGTAAATAAACAGCAGCATTGACAGTGGCGGCACCAGGCTTCCAAATTTGGGGGGCATTTGAGGGGCAAACTCAAATTTTTTTGGGGGGGAAAGATAGAATTTTTGAAAAGGTCGCCCCCCCAGGAAATCCCCCCCCCCCTCAAAACGTGGCGATATTCCTAGGAATATCGCCCCTGGGGGGCGAATATCCTAGGAATATCGCCTCCCAAGGGGGTGGGGCGAATACCCTAGGAATATCGCTTCTCTTTAGGACATTCGCCCCCCATATATGCGATGTGGTTTATTCAAATAATTTCGTGATACTTTCATCTTATTATTGCCTTACACGTTTGAGAATTTAACTCTGCAAAACTAAAGCTTTTTTGTCTTTTTTTGAAACGTATTATTGAAGTATTGGCAAGTTTTACCATTCAGAGATTTACAAACTAATATTGAAACTGTAAAAAACAGTTTCATGTATACGCGCATTCACTAATGAGTAACGACAACTTTTAAGCGATACCCTGATTTTCCGATAACGACAGAACGCTTGTGTAGCCTCTAGTCGCTCTTAGTGACTAATAATTTTTTTGATGGGGGCAAAATGGGGGGGGGGGGCAAACAACTACGGCGTACTAGAATGCTTAAGGGTGCACATTATAGTCGCCTTTGTCTTAGAGTAAAGATGCTATTGAGTATTGTTGATGAGCACGTTCTCGTTGCCGTTGTATTTGCCAAACTCTCTATAATGTTAAAAAAGCACGATGCATGGTTCGTAGCTCATTCGACGTTTGTCGAGATTCCAGACCATAATGATCTGAATTGAGTATAATATGTTTCTTTTATATTCGTGATGAATATTTTACATACCTGTAAAGTTACTATTCCACTATCTATCCGTACCCATCGGTTGGTTTTATTGTGTTTTAACGCTATGAATCTTTCATCAGCATCTCCAATAACTTTCGCATAATGTTTTATTGTGAAAAATTCTAGTGATAAAATTTGAATACAATTTAATAAATGTTGATTAATTATTAAACAATAATACATTATCATGGTTGACATAATGAAAATAATGGTATTCTTTACAAATTTTGTTTCTAAAGGCGTTGAGAATATAGTAATGAAATTCCCCAAATCAGAAATTGCTAGCCAGCTATCAGTAATAGCGCTGTTCACCTGATTGCGACAGTTTAAACGGGTTGTGAAACTACGATTCAACAGTCAATTTTAGAAGTTCGAAAAATCGGGCATGAGCAAAATAATGGACAAAACCGACTAACCCTCACTTTATTGCATATATATATATATATATATATATATATATATATATATATATATATATATATATATATATATATATATATATATATATATATATACAGCTAATTCAATTGAGTTTTTCCTTTCAAAGTCAAAACCCCAGACCTCTATAAGCGTTAAAAGCACGACGAATTTGCATGCTTATACAATGAGTGTAATTCATACTTTCGTCTTTCGACACTCCGCAGTTTATACGGTTGCTACGTCCCACAAGCTGTTTCGGTTTTGCGTAAATGGTAGCCTGGCGTTTTATAGTTGAGGGCGAAGTAAGCGTCTGCATGCATCTCCAGCAGAAAAAATACACCTCTTTATTTGATTGATGGTCTAATTAACTATAAACCAATATCATTCGACTTAAAAATAGACCGAAAACGATTTTTCACTTCCGATATATACTAACAGATATACTGAGGAAAAAAACAAATGCAAAACAAAAGAATACTATAAAATGAATTTATATGGTACTTCCAAACAATATTTGTACAGTATGTAAGTGTTCCTTAAAAACTAAATTTGGAACCAGTTGCAGCAGGATCGCTATACAGAGAATTTAAGTGTTCAAAACGAGCAGGAGTCGTAGGGACCCAGTTATCCGACATATGTGCCGGTGTCAATATCAAATTACATCGTGACCAAAGTTATGTATTGAGAGAAAGAGTTTGTAACCCTTGCAAAAAATTCAATTAACATATAACCAGCAATACGAATTTACGTTTGCAAAGTACGACCTCAGCTGATTCAAACAACAGCTGGAAGTTACCGTTTTCTAGGTCATGTGGAGCAAGTTCTTTCAGCATGATTTTGGCACGCATCAATAAGACAATTTTTTTAACATTTTAACGTTGCGGAATGTTGTTTGTGAGCATGCTTATAACTCTTTTGGGAATTAAAATTAATTCAATTAATCGATTAGCATAAATACTATAACAGCATGCATGCGTAAACATGTAATGTCATAATATACACACGCCCATTGTGCTTTTCGGGTTTAGAGGGCGACTGGTCGAAGATTTTGACCTTGTTTGAATTAGCCTTAATTGAATTAGCAACCTTAATTGAATTAGCTGTATGCATCATGTAAAAAGCCCAAATTCGAACACTATAATGTTGCATTTTGACATGCAGTTGCTTCAACTATATCCAACGTTAATTGTTGCATTATCATATACTGATACTTACTATCTTCGAGAGGTGTTCTAAAATTGCTCAAACCAATTTTTGAAGATGTCGCGTATAGATATTTGCTATATCTGACATTTTTTAATTTGCTCTTGGTATTATCAATACATATTAGTTCATCGTCATCTGAGGCAGATACGTCGTCCCCTGAAAATGATTTAAATTTCTTTTATTAAAATTACGCTGTATTAGAGTACTTGCTTTTTGGCTGCATGTTTTAATTTAATATGTAGAATTGCATCGAAATTTTTGGCGGCTACAAATGAAGGCATGACACGTACAGTCGATTTCTAGGCAAAATATTTAGATTCTTTCAAGGCACTGGATTATACCAAATACTATTATATGTAGTTAATAGCCTATAAAAATGACGCTGACGTCAGCAATAGCCATGCAGTAGGGCTTGAAACTTCTTTACCTGCAAGGGGAAATAAGTGTCGACTCAGAAGTCAGAATCTTTGATGAACACTCGTATATAGTAACGAACATATCAAACAGCCACTTTTCTAGCTAATTTTACATGCATATATTTGTGATCTATGTATACATGCATGAATGATCATGGTTCGCATAAATCATAACTAATTAGCCTACCTCCGTTATCTAATATAATCAATCCTCTCTCTCTTCTGTGAATTTCCTAAAGAAGAAATACCATATAAAATCATCTTTTCAATAAATAATTATTTGAATTGATCCGAATATTATGCACGCTTGTGCTCTGAATCAGCCTGCATCTTTTGAACAAGGTATAGTTCACAACTATCTTGTAACAATCTTGTCAAAATTTGAAAATCATGTGACCAAAATGTTACAGCTATATGAAGGCCGGCCTTCAATAATTAAACGAGAAATTAAAGCGAGCGCTGAATAGAGAGCCCATGCATGCAGGATTTGTAATTACAACTCGAAACAACTAGTATATATACGACAATAGGCTGTAGCCCTTTTACTATTATGTTTACTGAAACTCATCAATACAAATCGCTTACCATTCTCAACTGGCTATTTTTACTGTGTTTTAAGATGCGTTGTATCATGCTGGCCACCATTGCTGCAGAAAGCACTGGTTTGTTATTCACTGATATGATGATGTCATCATCCCTATATAATAATGTGTTAACAAATTATTGATTAAAAACTGCTCTGAACTTCTGCATGAACATTATCCTTTGTTACTTAATGTGATTAAAGTATCTATAAAAATTCACTATAGTTAGTTCATTTGACATTGAATGTTGATTTAACTAGGCGACGTATAGTTCGCACGAGCGCATATACTTACTTTCTTATTTTTTTATATCTTAAGGATTCTCATTGTTCCCGTCCTACTATTTTTTATAGCTTTAATTTTATAATCCTCTTTCCCCGCCCGGCGTTAAAAACAATGTTATCAGTTTATTCAATTTGAATTATTCCGAAACAGTCAACTTGAATAAGCAACATATATACTAGGAAAACTAAAAGTCGTCAAATTTTGAGAATGATTGTATATAGTATAGGCCCTACCTGTATATATAGGCTACGTGTGCGTATAGTAATTGAAACTATGTTTTTACTTGTCATAGCCATAGGAAACCTCTTTACTTGATTTCTACTAATTGCCTAACTTGAATCGCGAATGTCATGCATGACTCCTATATTGCTCAATTTCAGCTCAGTTTTTATATTCATTCTATCATTTTATATAGATATTATATACCTCAAACCAAAGCCATGAGCATATGTTTCCCAACCAACTTCAGTAATTTTAGCACCTTCTCTTATTATTACACCATCAGCACAATCACCACCGTCATCAACACCGCTACTGCTGTTGCTGCTGCTGTTGCTGCTGCTACTGCTACTGCTAGCCGAGTTTCTATTGGAGATAGTTTGTTCTTTATCGACTCTAACTTTATACAAATTTTCGTCCAGTTTGATACCAATCTTGTCTACGAAGGTGCAAGTACCAGAAGTAATAACCGCTCCAATGCCACCTTGCACGTCATGACATCCAGAATCAACGGAGCCATTGCTGCCAAAAGCTTTCTGCAAGGAAACATAAATGAAATTCAGAATTTCAGAGCACTCACAGGATGCAGCATAAAGGATTGAATTTGTTAATTGACCTTTCTGGCAAATTATCTTTATACTCTAAAGTAAAACTATATAGCATTATATATATTTTTGCTGCGTAATTTACTTAACATTATTCATGCATGCAGTTACTAAAGAGATACAATTTGGAATATGGGATAATCTCGGGATAGTTATATTGTATCGAGTCTCTGCTGTTCCGCCAAACTAGGGCGTAATTTGCGTCTAAAGACTCATAAGGGAGTGTAGGTTGGCTTTGCCCAGCAAAAGAACGTGGTCTGAAAGTTACGTGTGCTATGTGATGTATAAGTAAATATTGTTTACTATTTTTAATTTGCGCATATTACATATAAACAAACTTATTAACATCTTTCTTCTTACAAAACAATTAAACAGTTAACTTAATTAATAAGTCATAATGTCTATATATATATAGAAAAATCTATAAAGTTAAATGCTGTCCATCATGATACTTTCGTCATATAGTCAGGGACCCAGGGGGCGGATTAACAGGGCGCGGCGCATATTATCAGAGCGGGGTTATATCATGTTATATCAGCCTAGTCCCAGGCTCTCTCTCTCTCTCTCTCTCTCTCTCTCTCTCTCTCTCTCTCTCTGTCTAGTGTTGATCACAACTTGCGAGTATATGAATAACATCAACGATTATACGACCATTGCTCAGACTCAGTATCGTAAATTTGTATATATTTTTTTTAATTGAGCACATTTTTAATACAGTTTGAATTTGGTTATGTAGACATCAAACATGATCAACGAACATTGTCGTATTTACAAACTTATTTGTATAAATAAATTTTCCGTTATATTAAAAATACTGAAATCTGCTAGGCGTTCTTAAGCACCTTTTGCGGTGACATCACACCTAGATCCCAGTTTCGTACTACATCCACGTTTTTTCTCGCGCTTGCTTCAGAACGACTGGGACTAGGCTGATGTTATATCATGTTTTTTTGTCAGAGTTTATGCATGCATGTTAATATATGTGCACGGTCAGCCTAGTCCCAGTTTATACAAATAAGTTTGTAAACACGACAATGTTCGTTGATCATGTTTGATGTCTACATAACCAAATTCAAACTGTATTAAAAATGCGCTCAATCAAAAAAAATTATATACAAATTTACGATACTGAGTCTGAGCAATGGTCGTATAATCGTTGATGTTATTCATGATATACTCGCATGTTGTGATCAACACTAGATCATACTGGTATACACAACTACGCTTTCTACTTGACAGGTTTAAGTAGCTGAGGAGACTGGAAATATTCGCCTGACATGACTGTGTTGTCAAAACATTTTTGGTCGGAGACTCGGCATAATTTTCAAGCTTCTAGATAGCATTTAATATGGCTTTATATTTTAGTAAACACGAGTCATATTTAGCCCGTTATTCCATTCTGACTGTATGGTAGCGAAACGTAGCCTATTTCATTGTTCCGACAGCATTAGAGCAAAACTAATACACCCTTTTCATAAATGGCCGTCGATTAAAAATTCTTTTATGTGCATATAAATTGGCTCAACTAGCCTCGTTTCTGGGTAGAAATTCCTTTGAAATCTTAACATGAGTACGAGGCTAGTTGGGCCAATTTATATGCACATAAAAGAATTTTTAATCGGCAGCCATTTATGCGGAAAAGGGTGTATGACTTAATTATAAACACAATGGAAATTTCCATAACATTTTCTATTTACAAATGCGATATGCTTGGTAACCAGGCCAGGGACCACTTTTTTGAAATCAGGGACCATTTTACCGAAATCTGCTAGGCTCTCTCACTGAAGCGTTCCGCACAGCACACCCAGGAATAAAACTTTTAAGACTTATTTAAATATATCAAAGCAGCGAATAGAGAGAGAGAGCCTGGGACTAGGCTGGTGCACGGTCACAGTAATTGAGCTCATTGTGCAGTTTTCCTACAATTATTAAGTAATCGTCCAAATAGGGACAGCTGAGAAGAAACGTGCAGCCACGATGAATAATACTTGTAATGAAGTTGAAACAAAGTATTTGTGCACGGTGAAGTACATGCAGTTCAACAGTCAACATCAAACAAAGGCCTTCTATTTTGTGGCTTTGAAGTTCGCCGGGATTCTATAGACCATCATATCTTTACAGACTATATGTGCTTCCGTCAATTTCTCGGCATGCCAAATGTTTTCACTATCGAAAGTGCGCGGAGTCTTTACATTTTCGTTCCAGTCATGTGTCAAAGTCTGAAACTAAGTCTATATTTAAAAATAGGTGAAGAAGTTACGACAAAGATCAAGATCTATTTCCCGGACGACCCAATATCAATTTTGAAAGAGTTTTATTTGTGTTTTCTATAATTAACAACTTTGGTATTAAATTTGACGACATATTGATATCAACATAAGATATGGCGATATCAATGACATTGTAGTATCAGTTTTTATGCAAACATGTTTTTATTTTAAGATCGAAGTGTATAAAACAAAAATATTCGGTCGTGAAATTAAGTTACTATACACTAAATCGGGACGAAATACTAATATTATATAAGTACTTAAAAAAATTTGAATACAAAAATCAAAATATTATTATATTGAACCTTACACTATATTTAAACACAAACAAAGGATTTTCACTTCGTCTTTGTGTTCTTCAGACATTCACATTTATGATTTTATTAACATTAAGATGTCCTCTGATAGTCGATAAAGAATTATGGAAAATCCTATAGCTATAAGGTTTTTCCCATCAAATATTGCCTACATTGCAGATTCTGAAGAGTGAAGTCTATTAACTAACGTCATCATTGTGGTATTTACGCGTAATTGGAACTAGTATTAAAACGGTAGCCATGATTGATTGTTGGATTTCCCCACAGTTGGTATAGGATTTCCCCTCCAAACATTGGCTTTTTTATGTCATAACTGAAATATTTGCAGCACAGAGAAAAGCCGAATACTTATTATAAAGCTAATTTTAACCTTAGTTGTGTCATATATAGCCTCATAATGATAGGTTTTTCCCGAAAGCTAGCTGCTAGCTATCAATGTCCAATGAATACTGAAGATGCCCGCGGCCATGCACACGCACAACTCTCACAGCAGTATACCGTATGTACACGCCACGGTGGTAATCACAGCAATGTATTGTAGGCCTATATATACGTATACTATACAATACTATAATGTTGATATTTTATTTCTTTGCTACAGCCTACAAATACAAATACAAAATCAATATACAACATGCAAATTATAATAATTTATACAACGGAAATTTGTAAAGCAGTAATTTTGAAAATAATAGTGAACATCCAATATGAAAATAAGGCAATATAGATTTGTCGTTTCGTTGCCTTAAATTAGCCTTTATATATAGACTTGTAGTACACGCCGGCTTTCAATCAAATTGTCTTTTTCTCTTGTATAGAGTTATAATCAGTAATAAAATGCTCTTCACTTAACTATACTCTATAGTTTAGACATGCAACGTCTAAATTTTCGTGACCTTCGTAAGTTAGTTTTGGCCGAGATTTCATGCAAAAGGCCAAATTATTTAAGAGGCAATTTTTTTCAATGTCACGTATTTGCAATGAAAAGTGTTCAAAACCTAAAATCTTTTTGGCGTTCCTCTCAAAATTACTTTGTTTTAGCTTATTCTTTAGTTTATAGAGTTAGCAACCTTTTTAAATGTATCTGCCGGTTGAGAAACATAAACTAATAGTTAAAAATTGTGAATTAAAATACAATTATGAATGATGCTTTAAAATTGACGCCATATTTACAGCCATATAAGCAAAACTTACTGAACTTCAGACATCATTTTCTCTTTGGCGTGTCATCTAAAATATCTTCATTTTAGCATTATTTTACAGATAAAGCACTAAACATACTTTTTAAGTTTGTTTGCCAATTAAGAAAACGTATAGAAAAATTGATATCTACCGAGCACGATACTCGATGGTGCATGTAAAGATGGTTTAAAGATGGTACTGAACGAATTACCACTTTCACACTATGTGGATGTCCATATGGCACATGTCTATAATTTAAAAAATACTAATATACTGTATACAAAGATAAAGCATTTTAACTTACTCGTATCTTCTTAATATTAATTGTTCTCATTGTCTCAAGTCACTAAATTAGGCTTGTTTTCCTCTGGCACTGCTTTTGCATGAAAAACTGATGACAATTAATATGTCCAGCATATATAGATCAACCTGATTTTATGTCTAAATCTAAGACATTATAAAGTCTGACGTATATATGGTGAAATGTATGCAACACGTCAGGGGAAAGCCGAGTTGTTATAGCCGCGGGTTTCCCCGCTGCCACTGCTTGTGAAAAGTTACATAACTGCTATATAGTGCTATATATAGCAAGCACTTGACGCAAACCCTATATAGCTATATATTCATACTTGCTACATATTAATATTATATATATATAGATATGGATATTCCCGATGAGATTATATAATGTTGTTGCAAAGTCAAATTCTGTGCATGAGAATTTGCATGACTTTGTGCATGTCAATGTGTCATGGGTTTTTCCCAATAGCTGCTAGCAAACACCAGAAGCTTCCAGAAGCAAACACTATATAGCTGATATTACATGATATATAGTCATTAGAGTGGGATATGGATATAGTCCCGAAGAGATAGCTAGTTACAAATTCAAATTCTCAAAGCATACACCGGCTCTCATGCACATGCATATGCGGTCGGTGCATCGGCCATTTATAGTGATTATATATAGTGTACCGCGGATATAATTGTTGGTTTAACATACTGAAATTATACTTTCAGATTTTAGGCTTCTGGCACGTGACGTTTATATAGAACATTAAATCATGACAAAAGGCTCTTGGGCAATGTTTCGTATTGAAGCAATCCCATATAAAGTTGTTTACCAAATAGTAACGTGATTTTTACACACTTTATTCAACCAGCGACTCAATAAAATACACAGTTTGCAGCTTTTTTACAACCCGCGACTATTTACCCGCGCGACCCGCGACATTATTCAAACTCATTTGACACTTGATTGTACTGTACAGTAGTGATAAAGCCTGGCATCGCCATCAATCAGTTATCAAATTTTTAATTATGATGACTTTAAGTCTGACTATTAAAAGTGAAATTGTAAACTTGAGTTGTGTCATGACATAGCGGGTTTCCCCGCTTCATGCCGCTGCTTATAATTTTCTTCCTGATAGTGATAGCTGCCAGCAAACACTTGAGTGAGGCAAACACTATACGCTGGGTCTATACGCTATATTTACTTTCTACATCTGGATATAGTCCCGAAGAGATAATAATGTTGTTATACAAAGGTAAATTCTGACAGCCCAAGACCACGAAAAGTTTTTAATTTCGCAAATCTTATCCGTATAGCACATGCAGGGTCGATGAAAGAGAATGTATAGGAATTTAAATTTTATTCTTTTTTGCTTTTAGTTTATCTTTGAATCGGTGCATGTTTTCCGCCTGATGTATCAATTGCTAGTATATAGCCGTATTGAAGTTGCATTTTTCGCAGCTGTTCCTGGTATAGGTTAAAAAACATGTATATAAATTTCCACTCGATAATATTCATCAAATCACCATTCAACTGTTGAATCGAGTGTGATGCCAACAAAATCTTGATATGATACCGCCATACGTACACCTGCATGTCACAGTAGTGTACTGTAATATAGTAATCACCGCAGTGATACTGCACAATATAATTACTAATTAATGTTGATATTTGATTTATTTGCTATACAGCCTACAAATACAATATACAATATACAATATACAACACACAAATATATAATAATTGAAAATAATAGTGAACATCCAATATGAAAATAAGCCAATATAGATTTGTCGTTGCCTTAATTAGTCCTTAGGGCTTAGGCTTAGTGACTTTCAATTGAAATGTCTTTTTCGTTTGTAGAGTTAATTATATTAAAATGCTCTTTACAGTTAGTTTTGGCAACGTCTAAATTTTCGTGACCATCGTAAGTCAGTTTGGCGTTGTTAATATGGAAAGATGAGGTCGTTTCTGATATATCATCAACTTAAATTCAGGAGCAAGTCAGCACTTACTACTGCTGAAGTATACTATAGTATTAAAATGCTCTTTACTACAGTTAGTTTTGTCAACGTCTAAATTTTCGTGACCATCGTAAGTCAGTTTGGCCGAGATTTCAAGAGGCCAAATTATTTAACACTTGATTGATAAAGCCTGGCATCATGGCCATTAGAGTATTAATTATTATTTCTGACTTATATTACGTGCAGTTTTTAATCCATAAAATTGATATGTTTACCGTCGCCGAGCACGATACTCGATGGTTTTACATGTTTAGAAATGCCAGACATATTTCAAATGCCAGACTAAATTTTCGTGACTATCGTAAGTTTTGGCCTGAGATTTCAAAAGCTATAGGAAGTTCATATTTAACACTTGATCGGATAAAGCCTGGCATCAGTTATCAGATTTTTAATTATGACTTATATTACCTTATTCCATAAAACTGATATATTTACCGAGAGCGACACTCGATGGTTTTACAGATGGTAATGGCATGTTTAGAAATACCAGCGTTTTCCAACGCATATTACCACTTGTTACACTATGGTTACCGCCAACTTATTCATGCCATAATTTATTAAAAAGACACTGGAGATACAAAGACAATGTAGGTATTCAAAAATAAAGTATAACTTACTCGTATTTTCTGATAAATTGTAGTCATTCTCTCAAGTCACCAAAGGATTGTTTTCTTCTACTGTAGATTTTCAACTGCTCGCATGGAAACTTCAATACAACTCACAAATTCTTCGCACACCAACTTGAATTTAAATACCAGCCGGGAACTTCCTGTTTTAAATAGAGCAAAGGCGTAAATCAAAGCCGTTGACGTCATACATCCGGCTGTAGCACTTATCCAATTCCAGCGGATGGCAAATGCTTGTCGCATGTGAAAATAAAATGCAACGCGCCCACGTCAAACGTTGTACAGTAGTTTCTGTACGTGCATGGCAATGCATCACGGTAGCCCTCGTCTTTGTGAATTTTACCACTTTACTATAATTTACATTTTTCTTGTTGACCGTGAACGGCATGAACAAGTCAAACTATAGTCAAGTAGTTGTCTTTATTTTAACTGCTATGATTTGGCACACGCCGCAAGGACTAAAAACAACTTTTCAGTCGTACATAGCGCACGGAACAAGTATAGTAGCCAGGAGAAATTACTCACTGCATGCACAGGATCTGCATGTAATCATGGAATTTGCACTTTTTCTGCGAAAAAAAACTTCACACTTGCATGTCTTGTGTATATATTTGCCAAACAATAACGTGTGTCATGTGTGGTTTTGGCTGCCATTGAGTGTGTAAATCCTCTATGTTATAGGTCATAAGGGAATCTAAACTGTATATATATCCGCGTATGTTCGAATGACGAAAATGTAAGATTTCACTAAATGAAATCACCTTTTGTGTGCTGTCGCGGAGGAAGATTTGATTCAGTTTTGATTCATTGTAATCATTCAAGTGCAGGTTAGCTAAGAATTTTAAGACTTGTTTCTAGAATATTTAAAGAACAAAAACATCAATGCAAAAATTCAAGAAAAAATTATTTGTACTGAAATCTATCTATACTGAAATACAGTAGATCTATATACTGAAATCAAACATTTATTGCATTATTAAATTTCGATGTCGCCTGCATGTCGGAATTTGCCCTAAAATACAATATACGGTCTTAGAGTGATTGAAGGCTTCGATATTTTATCTGTCTCGTATACATGCACTGTATTGTGCAGTGTGCTTTATAAATATCGAGTCATGTACTACAATAATTAGAAATAATTTTATTTAGTAATTTTAGTTTTTTAGATATATGAAATTTAATACATGACAGAACTACTGATATACGATTTCCTCAAGAATATTCACCCAAGGCTAGGTGCAGCTCCGCGGCATGCAGCCTATACGGCATAAGTTAGCGAAAAACATCAATTTGAATACTTGACTGGTTTTGAATATTTAAATTTGACAAAAAAGTCGCATAAAGGACGTTATTTGCTGTGAAAGGTATACGATACCCATTGATTGTAATATTTTTTGGTCTGTGTCGGTTCTTGTATGTTTATTTTAGACTAGACGACTATAGTGTATATTTACTTTTATTAAGGCGTGCCCCCGCTGAACTCGTGGTACATAAATTTTCTGCCCGACTCGGCAAACAGGATGTGTGACAGGATGTACTGCAGTATCCTGTTGAAATCTGTAACATGCTGCAATCCTGTGAATCACTTTATAGTAAAACAAATATATTGAATAATTGGATTTCCGCAGTGTTAGGAACCCTACGTCTATAACCAAGTAACATATACTTATATAGCAGTAGGAACTAGCATTGAGATTGGAATATTTCGTTCAATTATTTGCTCTAAATGCCAGTATAGTACTAATACGATTGAATGACTGTACCACTCCTTAAGTACTCGTTTCAATGCGTGGGGAAGCTCACGGGTTTTAACAAGCACGTGTTGCCTAGAATCAGTGACAAAAAGCTTTTGGACAGTGAAACTACACATTTTCAAATACTGTTCAGCATAATACCAAAACAATGTTGGGTCGTTAGCAAGCAACATTTTTCACAATCTTTTGTCCACACGAATTGAACTGGGGGCGCGGGGGGTCGCGGCATTATCCTGCAAATGTGCGCTACTTTGCTATTTTGTCCGAAGTGTTTTGTTGGCTAAACTTTAATTATCGCTAAGCAAAATTTCTCCGTTTTTATTCTTCTTGCATGCATGGTCGTCGCCGGCTAGTCACGCCAGGTCGTTGGTCTTTAAAGTACTTCTTCTCATCTGGTGGCATATGCCGCGCTCAAGTTTAACGCAGAACGGCAGAAATTATAACCCTCTCCAAACTCGATCTAGTGGTTCAAGCATAGCGGAAAGGTTTGGAATATTTGTGGTTTTCAATAAGCTTTATAAAGGCAGTAGGTACATGCATGGTGACCAACGAGGTGACCAACTTAAAAAATATCGACAAAAATATAGGCAAGAAGTTAAACTCTATCTCAATTCGATATATATTTCAATCAATTCTTAATAATACACGAAAGGCGAATCCCGCAAGGTATCGCCAACTTTTCGGCACCATCTTACTTATTCTGTTAATCCCTCCTCTTTACAATAGAGAGGTTAAGATACCCCGGTTTCGGTGTACGGGTACGGGTAGCATGATTTTGGTTAGCAATATTTTCGTCGATGTCTGTACCTTTACTCGTAATTAAGGTGCACATTTTTCCCATTATATCATTGTCTTGTTGCAAGAAAACAGAAAAAGTATGATTGAATTACAGACATCGGTAAAAACTAGTAAACAAGATGACACTACTCATACCCGTACACCGAAACCGGGGTATCTTAAACTCACTATTATCACTACTGTACGGAAATTGCAACTGACGAGTACAGACAAAGGGGACAGCCTTCAAAACTTAAATTTTTGTATCAAATGTTTTTCCTATATGATATGTCGGCTGTTCTCAAACTGAAAATGTATAAATTCAGTGTTAACTTTGTGAATGAGCTCCCATATGAAAACAGCATATATATTAGTCATATACTTAATCCTTATGTCAAATTACCACTGACCGATCGCGAAACTAATTGATCTAAATGTTGCAGAGATAAAATATTCAATGACAGCAGGGTGTCGAGGGTGGGCCGTCTGACGAACGCCCACATGGTATGATATCTTTAATTAATCTTGTTAGGCTTTGTTCACCAAGATTGATCTATTATTTAAATGCTCAACTTCTTAGTCGACGGATCTAAGGATCTTAGTTTATATATATATATATAGCCTATATACAGGGTGTATAAAAAAAAACGCAATCCTCGACTGAAATCTAAATTGCTAAACAAATAATATACGAAAACGTTAAAGTTTACATTCATTTTAAAGCGTAGCCATTCAGCTTTCTAACAGTGGGTTGTTTCTTAAATTTGACTCATTGGTTCGCGGGTAACATTTAAACCGACTAAACAATAACATAGTAAACTCGCATAATTAAACAGCAACTAAAAATGATAGGTTTTACTAAATCTTTTCCTGTGCAATTATTACTAGCATTGGAGACAAGGATAATAGTTTGTTTGAAAGAGAAAAGAACAGGCTTTGAAGTAAGCCTAAAAGCGTTTAACTAGAAATAGTATTTCGAAAGTTATTAAGCACCAAACATGAATTGCGTTTATTTTGATACACCCTGTATATATATATATATATATATATATATATATATATATATATATATATATATATATATATATATATATATATATATATATATATATATATAAAAGAAAATGCAATCCATGTTATGCTTTCGACGGTCGTATCTCAGGGTGTTAAAAACTTACAACCATAACATCGTTATACCATAACATCGTTATAAAACAATTCGCTTTTTTTTAATCTCTAAACTGATCGATGTTATACCTATCAGGCCAATTTGAAGAACAAAATTTTACCTGCAATTTATTTACTCTTCTCTCTCTGCCTTTCCCCGCTGTAAATGGTCTAAGAGTGAATATGTGGCGTGTTTTCTATGCGATGTCGTCATCGTTGTGAAGCAACTGCACGCTTGTTAACTTCTTTAAAAGTTCGATGTGAGAAAAGTATTGCCTAAATATCTTATATCAGACTTTATATAAAAAACGTCCTTCATTTTTTATCCTATATTTCCTTAACGTTAAAAAGTTATTGTCAATTCTTTGTATGCAGATTGCTTAGCGTAGGAAAAAGTTTGATTTGGCACATTAAAAACTACCTGTTATTTCTGGTTTTCGGTGTGATATTCAACAGGTATACGATTAACGCATCGATAGCTTTTGTCAGGTCGACTTATCTCTGTAAGATTCTTTTTATGAGATCGCTTTAGGTTGAAATACATAAGGGTATTAAACTATAGGCGGCGCCAAACTCTCT